AGCCTATTTACTGCTCTCACCGGATTCACTCGAATAAAGTTATTGCAGGCGGCACAGTAATAACTTTTAAAGGCTTTAAAAAATCCACGGTCTAGAGGTTGCAGGAATTGTGTTGTATGGCTGGGAAGACATAATAAAGTAACACCGTGTTCTTCAGCATACTCTAGAACCTCTATTGAACTGCAGTGTGATGCATGGTCATCTAAAATAATAAATACCCGTCCTTGTGGTTTTCTCGGAAGAAATTGTGTTCGTAGCCATGTTAAAAAACTGGATGTGTTGATATATGCCGATTTTTTAGACATATAAGCCACGGACTAATTTTTTTTCCTTTGAATATGCACGCTGGTGGTATAAATGTTCCTTCTCCATTACAACAAGAGATTACAGTGGTTGTCTCACCCTTTTCACCAGAAGCTATCGCAGCTACGTTCTTGGATCCTTTTTCAGCAATCACATAGTCAGGTCTGTTATTGAGCTGAAGGCCGGACTCATCTATATTGAAACCATTGCCGCGTTTGTCGAAGAGATCCAGCTCATGAAGAACAATTTTTCTTTTTGGAGCGAATCCTTGTTTTTGTAATTTTTTGATATGAAGAACAATTTTCATCTCATTTTCATCACCTAGGACTGATGATGGGCACAGACTTTTCTTGTTAGTGCGATCCAGTGTTCTACGAAGTGTCGTGCAAGGTATTTGAAATTGTCTGGATGCCTGATTGACCCCCATATTTCCTGGTCGTACAGCCTGGATTGCCGAATGTAACATGTCTTCGGTCCCTGTTGCCCTATAGCAGTTTCCTTTTCGTATATATTTAGTCGGTATCTTATTTGTAGATTGGGTGAGACGGCGCATGCAACTTGGGTGAGACGACGTGCGCCAATTAACCCAATTCGTGCGGGTACGATGGCTTAGTCACGTGCTTATCAACGAATAACTATTTCCATAGTTTTATGGTTAGAAAGCAAACTATGATGTTATTTCAAAGCGAAACTAACGGAAATTCTAGTCAGTTCCATTACAAAACAATTAAATTACTATGTGTCTAAAAAAATTAGGTATGGTGAAATATACTAAGTCCCATATAAATCCGAACACCCAGTTTAAATGGTTTTATTTTAATAAAAGTTGGAGAATGTATTTATCTTACTGTAAATAACAAGTGAAAAAATTTTCAGCCTTATCAGTTGGACATTCCGGTTTTTATAGTGCTTTTTTTTAATTCACTAACGCTCTAAAAATGAATATATCAGCCGCAGTAAAGAATCAACGTTGGCGGATTTTGGTTCTTGACATCCTTTACGATCGGTTACGATGCCTAGAGTACGGAGACCTGTACGATTTCGTCAACTTAGTGAGTTTGATAGGGGCCGTATAGTGGGACTTCGGGAAGCTGGACTTTCTTTTCGGGCAATTGCAGTTAGAGTGCAAAGAAGTGTAGACACTGTGGTTAGGTGTTGTCAGACATGGCTTCGAGAAGGCCGTACGCAAAGAGCAAGGGGCACTAGACGCCGCCGTAGAACAACAGACCGTGAACATCGCCGCCTAAGATTATTGGCCTTAAGGGACCGTTTCTCCAGTACCAGGTCCATTGCAAATGAATGGTTTGCAGTACACAGAAGACCTATTGGCATGCGAAGCGTTTACCGACGAATGAGTAGTTTTGGCTTGTTTTCATACCGGCCACACTGGGTCCTCCCTTTAACTCGAGAACACCGACGTAATCGCCTTGAGTGGTGCAGACAACGGTCACTCTGGGATCAGAAATGAAACAGTATTGTCTTTAGTGACGAGTCTCGATTTTGTTTAGGCATGCACGATGTTCGTGCCAGGGTTAGAAGGCGACGTGGTGAAAGGAGGAATCCACAGTTTTTTGTTGAATGACATGTTCATCACACTGTTGTAGTTATGGTTTGGGGTGCTATAGCTTATGGTTCCAGGTCACCTTTAATCTTCATCAGAGGTAACATGAACGCGCAGCGTTATATACACGAAGTTCTAGAACCCCATCTTTTACCCTATCTTGACACCCTGGCAGATCCAACTTTCCAACAAGATAATGCCCGACCACATGTTGCAAGAGTCACAGTAGACTTCTTTCAACATAATGATGTCACATTGTTACCATGGCCACCAAGATCTCCCGACTCATCCCCAATTGAGCACGTGTGGGATATGATGGTAATAGGAGATTGCTCAATTTGCAACGTCCTCCTCAGACTCTAGAAGCACTTCGACAGGAGCTGGTGGTTGCCTGGAATGAGATACCACAGGAGGACATTGACCACCTGATCAGAAGCATGCCTAGGCGCGTTGGAGAATGCGTAGCACATCAGGGTGCATCAACACATTATTAAAGGTCAAAGTGCTTTAAAGCAGTGCAATCATTTTGAAATTTTTATCATTTACTTATTATGCTTCATTAAGTACTTATACAAAATTTTATTGGAATAAAACCATTTAAACTGGGTGTTCGGATTTATATGTCACTTAGTATGTATAATGGAAAATTTAATTATCTTAACTCCAAATAAAGGCACGAGATGAACGGCAAAGGTGTTTACTTGCAAATGAAGATCGACAGTAATGGCGACGTTGTCCGCTCCTCATTCGTTTAGGAAAATATTTCACTGCGCCGTTTAACCCCCTGCGCTATCTTTACCGAGTTTACCCTAAACCGTGCGCTGATCCGATCCTGCACGCCCATCTACTTCTGATTCAAATGATTATATATGACATTTGTCTAGTATAGTCTCGCTATCAGTATTACCTCAGGGTTAACCATTCAGCCGGTAGGTTTAGTACTCGTAAAGTGGACACCGACCTGAAAATAAATTACGCCTCTCCCTTTCCTCACCATTCACAAACAACCCTCCAAAGCATTTTTCATGTCAACCTGAAATATTACCCTCTTCCTTCCTCCTGATATTTTTATTTATTTAATTCTACCTCACTCTCACTTTGCGATGATGGTCTAGAGGTATGATTATAATTAATTCACTTAGTTGATTCTCATGTTATTTAGCTGGATTGAGGTGCGTGTCCACAACAACTTTTCTCCGCAACACGTATCGTGCCTTGTTTCGCCATAGGTGCTACAAATGAGTATTCTGCAACATGTTATAAACCGACTGATGGGGTTAAAAATGTTTCAGGTTGCAAGGTGTATTCATCACTTTTATGCGGAGATATATTGCAGATATCAAGAATGTGTCGGGAACATGCTGGGCAACATACGTTCTGACAGTCTGCAACAGATGCGTCTCCATTTAACCCTTTCGCCCCGAACGCTACACATGTGTACCGCTATTGTTTTAAAATGCCTGAAAGTTAAAATCATCATTCTACAATATATCAACTTGTACCACGCCGATTTGTTCAGTGTCCTAAGAGTTTCCGCTATAAACTCGACGTTTATTATGAGGTTATGTTTACTTCATGACTTGATGCACGTGGTTTTCTGTTATAAGTACATCATTTCATAAAGAACGTACATAAATCTATTAATTATAGTGTTGTAACTTGTTTCTAGGGCGTTTGAGAACATAGTGAGAATTCAGGTATGTGGTATTTTTTACACATTTTTATTTGTTTATACTTTTTTCTTCCGTTCATTTTAGCGGTGCGTTTATGTACCACCAGGTTCGTACATACAAATTTTTTTGTTTTCAGATCTAGGAAGAACCGATGACGCCCGCTGAGTGAAATAGAGCTTGAAGCCATTATTGATGAAATGTCAGAACCATAACCTTTTCTTCTTGTTCCGGTGATAATTATGAGCCCGATTATTGTAGTGAATACAGTGAATCCTTTAAACGGACTGTATAAAAAATTTCAAAAAAACTATTCAAGGGGAAACAGACAATTCAAGTGCATCTTCCGATTGTGAAACAGAACCAGAGGTTGCAGTTTTGGATAAAGCTAATCGTATTCTAGATTGGACTGTTTCCTATTATACATTTAAACCTGCCAAGACTCTTTCAGCTAAGAGATCCTGTCATCTTAGTGAATATGTAACAAACAAGCTGAGCCTCATGCAAATATTTCATAAACCATTTCCAAATTCACTTTATATAATAGCTCTAAAAAACGCAAAGAACGGAGGCCAGATAAGGGGAATTACAAAAATTATTTGGCTGTATGTTCATAATGTCATACAATAATCTTCCTGGATTGAAATATCACTGGAGTCTAAGAGAGCCTATGGGTAATCATACAGTTGAAAATGCAATTTCTTGCGATAGATTTATCATCTTATTTCCAAAATTGTATTTTGCCCCACAAGAAAAAACACCAAATGCATAAAAAACTTATGTTGATGAACCCATTTCATGTCTAACATATACTTATTCTAAGTATCGTCAGTACCAAAGTGTTGACGAGTCAATGACTAAATCCAAAGGACGCTCGTCGTTGAAACAATATATGCCTGCCAAACCGAAAAAAAGGGGAATAAAATTGTGGCTTCTTTGTGATGCTCAAAACAGGTATACCTATGATACGAGTAAACTCCGGTAAAAAATCTACCACAAGCACTTCAAATGACTCACTGTCACTTGGAGAGCGGGTTGTCAAACCACTTGCTTCAACAATTAAGGCTAAAGATGTAGTCTTGATCCATTTTTCACGAGTGTGCATTTATAAGAAACAATAAATTATCCAGCGTTGGGTACCTGCATGACTAATGGCAAAAATATACCCCCCATGACCAACAAATTAAAAAGGGGAAAGTCTACATTTAGATGTTGCAGTACAGGACTGTTATGCACGAAATGGCAAAGATGTAATGATACTAGGTAACTGTCACGAGCCACAACTTACCTCAATTAGCAAGAAAAGTAGAAGTGGTGAACTAGAAACAGTAGAATATCCAGAAGTGGTTGCATTCTATTGACAGAAAATGGGAGGAGTTGATCGAGCTCATCAACTTATAGAGTTATATCAACATGATCGAAAATCTGCTAAGTGGTAGAAGAAAGTCTTTTACACTTACCTGACAATGTCTGCAGTAAATGCATGGATAACGTACAATGATTTGAGGCAAGAGAAAGAAAAAAATATCTTTCCTCCCTTTCCTTGCACATCTCGCAGAATTAATTACCGAGGGCCTCCGAACAACATCAGTACGACCACCAAAAAGAGGTGCTTCATCTAAAAAAAGAAAACTTTTCCGTGTAACACCTTGGCATCTTCCCATAGAAGGACAAACAAGAAGATGTACAGGGCGTGCAAGCAACAAACTTAAAATAAGACTATTTGGAAGGAATGCAACATTCCATTGTGTAAAGACTGTTTCTTCTGATATCACACAAAAAATCTAAATTTCTTATTTTGAATAAAAATTACTACTTACAACTAAATTAATAGAATTAATTAATTTTTATTCATAAAGAGACTGCTTATATTCAGGGTCGAAAGGATTTTAAATAAGCTCCAGAGGGTAGTGGGTACGCACCTTTACTCAAATTGTAGATTTGAACTCGATTATGCGTTGCTACTGACAATGCTATGGTACGAATGTGATTTCTGGTATGGCGGCCATCTCTGTGACATCATGTCATATTTCTCTGGATGCTTCCAAAATGTCCGAGGATGGGGTTTTGATTCATTACTTACGATCTTTAAGGTTTAAAAAAATGGACACTTTCATTCTCATGTTTTATTTTGCCTTCAGCCTCTAATACGTACAGGTGAACAGATGTCAGAATGTCACGTCAAAATAGGAGGATCTTTATAGCCGTTAAAAATCGCATCAGAGCAGTATTGAGCACTGACCATGGTACTTGCTTTGACATAATATGCAAAAGTTGCATAAACTAAACATAGGCTGGAGAGAATCGGTTTGCTTTACTACTCTGGGCCAGATCTGCTGATAGATGGCACGCCTATGTGGTAGGCGAGGTTTGTCCCTTTCCTTGAAGGAGGCTGATAATCATCGAGCCCGGAAAAATGGTTTTCTGCTACTGACGTAGGACTCGGATACCGTGTTTGGCGGACTAATCATAGGTGGCAGTGTCATCTCTCCGCGCATGATACTTTCTTTCAGTAGTTACCTATTTTTGCTTGTTCGCTTTTAGTTGTCTGTCTTCAGCGATTAGACTTAGACCGTTCTGATGAATGCTAAAAAACGTAAAACCTCGTTGCTTACTAGCTTTGGCAATAATGGTATGCTTTAAATCCGTTGGTATACAGCCGAACATAGGATGTGGAATAGCAAGAGATCGCTTGTGGAATTCGACATATTCTGACATGCCACTTCTACAGGCTGACTACATAGAATTCTTCCGAAGTTCATCTTTGATAGTCAGTATGTTATCAAGACAGCTTACGAAAACCAGTCCGACGAGACGTTATTAAGATTTCGTCCATATGAATTGCAAGTGGTCTATGGACACATATGGCAGCATGACGCAGGTCGAATTGGCTGTCATAACTTTGGCTGCAGAAGAAACTGCTTACAGAAATGTCACAAATAAATATTGGAATCTGCATGGTCAGCAGATACGCAATACTGACCCTTAAGGCTTACAAAAATAACAGTACTAGACTGCCACGTGACATTTGTCAGTTCCTCCGCCAATAACATCACAGCAACAGTTAACCCCTGGGTGAAGGGTGACTCACCAATCAAGGGTAATATTATTGCCGACAGACTGACAAAAAGGGCTGCTGAAACCAGAATACTGGGTCCAGCCTCCCTCTGTATGCTACCCATCCGTACTACGACAACTATGCTAATAGAGCACGCTCACAAAATCTCCAAGAACGTGTGTGATGACACATTGCTCGTTTGCTGAAAAATTCCTGAAATATCCTAGCGAGGAGGTAGCAAAAAACTACCTGTCTATTTCCAGACAATTTGCAAACCGGCATTGCATTTCCTTACCTTAGAGCCATCTCCAAATTTTGGTATTTTGACTTTAATATGCTAAGAAAGATATGTATGTACACTCTCTTATTTCCTATTATCAGCAAAGAAATCAGCTGCTTTTAAATCAGGTCAAGCCCTCAGGCTGCCTAGAGCAAAGCAAGTACTAGGATATGTACGCTCCGTGCAAGTTGGGCTTGTAAGCAGCGTTAATAGTTTATATATACGTAAAAGGTGGAATGAATGTGACAGTAGTGGCAGGTTTTCTTATTTCTCTTCTCAGGAATGTCATCTTCAGGTGCAAAGAAGCAGTTCCCCCCATTTTGTCCTATATAAAGAACTTCAATGAAGATTTTTCTGAAGTTGACTTCAGCAGAACAACGCGACACAAAGCGAGTTACTCTGTGAATTTAGAATGCATTAGGGATATCCCTAAGCCAATATCTGAGAATAAGTATAACCATTTACAGAAACTACTTGTTTGGGTCACTGAAAGGTTCCATCAGTCTTATAAAGGCTTAAACACGCAACGGCTGTGATTATGTAAACCTTGCCTATAAAAACTATTTCCTATATTAATTACGGAATATGCTGACCTAGTTTGAATTATATGTTCTTTATCAGACTTAGTTTGAGTTTTATGTTTTTGTAAAATTGCTTATTATCATTTATATTTTATATTGCTACAGTGAATATATGTTTTTTTTTATTAACGTGATGTTGCTATCTAGACAAGCGTGAAGATGTCCATCCTTCAGGACTTATATGATAAGTCCCAACTCATTTTTTAAACTTAGGTTGAGACACAAAAATAAAAAAAAAGCAAAATATCTGAATTACCTACATCTGCTGGTTTTTATCCATCAGAGGCAGCTGTGTAGAAAAATTTTTTCTCCATGGGAGTATGGTGAAAAATGTTGCCGGAGTCAGAATAGTATAATATAAGCTGCGTAAAATCACAGTGGTTGCATGACACTAGCTTCAAATACGTAAACTTGGAAATACCCACGAAAGCTTGTAGATTCTATGACTTTGATCAAATAAAAGGGTGATTTCAAAAGGATTAGGGCTTAAGCAGGATAATTTAAAGAAATCATTAAAAAGCTATAATTGCTTTCAGCATAAGAATGTTATGACTATGCTTGTATCGATTTTGAGCCTAAACACGGAAGCTATATTATTGACTGGTGGGGCTCGGGTCCAGTTCTTTTGTTATTCCAGACTTTTGGATTACTCGATTCTCTGTTTGGTTGGGGTTGCTCTAAGGGCCATGTAATACTGATGTAAGAATTAGATAACTTTTTATTATTGGAGGAGAACTTAACAGGATTAACAGTAATAGCCGACAAAATTGGCTGTGACGTACCCGGTTTTACAAATCGACGCCATCTTGTTTTATTCTGTCACAGCGTCGCCCCACTTGAGCAAACATAAGCCATCTACAGGTAAGCGATCAAATTATATAATAAAAGCATTCTGGAGCACCTGAAGACGTCTACCTGCACAATTACAAGCCTTATTCAAGATCATTCTGTTTCACTTAGATTTATATCCTATTCTTCAAACAAGGTTATCATTTACTTGACACCTTGTAGCATGGAGAGCTATATCTTGGCTAGATATTAAAGAAATATCCATAGTTCTTGTAGAAGTATCAAAAAAGCTTAGCATTTCGTCACAGATGCTCCATTTCCAGCATGTATAAATTTCTGGTCCAGAAATCGTAGGTTCGATTCCGTCTAGTAATTTTCTATACTTGTACTGTTCGATTTGCGTTCAAGATAAAAGTAGCATTAAATATCCTAAGATCATATTAGGAGCGCATCTGTTACTTCCTTTTCACCTCCTTCGATAAGTTCGATCAAATTCGTATTATTCTTGTAATACGGACTTTGTCAGATTTCTAGTCTTCTACTTATTGTACGGTGTCATCGCTTCTCATGCCAACAAGCGGTATCCTGTCTTTACTCTCCTGTTTCATAACCGAACACAATCTGACTTTCTTATAGTTTGTACAACATATTGCAGGACTATATCGCAAGGTAAAATAGTTCTCAAATCCTTAAATATCGCAAATGGAAGCAATCAAATAAGTAGTCCTTTAAAACGGAGTGGTCAGTTGTTGGAAGAGCATATTATGTCTCGAAGAAAAGGCACGATTTTTGTTATATTACTCAATGAATCGTTAAGCTAAGCCGTGGGGTTTCCAAGAGCATATATTGATTCATGTATTTAAATGATTACATAAAACTGTCACTCTACGATTACTGATAAAACGAATATGAATCTAACCTCCAAGCTGTAAAGGAATTATCAGAAAGATATTAATGGATAAATATAGCCATACGTTTTACCGTTAATCAAAAGAATTATTAAGCCTACAAAATATTTTCGGAGAAGTAGATTATACTATTGGTGCAAGAACTGCTAAGAACCGAACTAGCAAATTTAAGAAGGATACAAATTGTAAAATAAGTTGCAACTACTTCCGGGACACACTTAAAGTAAGATTATGGAAATTTAAATACCTGGATCGCAAATTGGATCTACTCGGCAGAAACGCACACTAGTCGGCATCATTATGAGTCAGAATTACTAATCTTCAGAACAGACGTTATATAGCTCACGAAATTCTTTGGGGCGCAATTATCGCAGTTGTAACTATAAGTCTAAAGTACTAGGGGTAATAATTTTCTTCATAGTTTTATACCTGTAAGCGTTTGATTGTTGCTTATATTGTTCGAGCGAGTGGTGAAATGGAGAGAACATAATTCTTGTATTTCAATGCTAGTAATTAAAATATTACACACATAAACACTATGATCGGTTATAGAATTTAAACATACTAAGTTTGATTTATCTTGGCAAAACTTGGAAGAAACTCCTTGAATTAGGTTTGGACTGGTAACATTCACAATTCGAGGTGCAAAAGTCCATTTCAAATGATGCGTGTTCCATCCAGCACTGTCCAGCGTAGTCCATATCTTCACCAGCAACTTACGATATATTCATGGCACGTTACACTGTAGTGAATTTTGTAAATAACGCTGATGGGCCGTTACGACACTAACATGGTGTAGTTTTTTCAACACCACCTAATAGGGTTTTAAGTGTTATCTACCAGCATTACAGTAACAACATTCATTACTATGTTATATGAAATACCTTATAGCGGTTACATAGCACTTGAAACTTTTATTGACTAAGACATTGGCCGTAATGTCTGTAATCGGTGACTGACACTACTTAATATTAAGCGGTTGTATCCCTACATACCATTGAAGCACAAACAAGTGTTGACAACTGAAGCAGAGTAAAGTATCCTTTATCAGAACTATTAAGACTATCCAAATTCCACTTGACAAATCCCTCGATAATATTAAGGAATTCTTAGCTCACAATTGACTTATCTAAGCAGATTTTTGTTTTTCAGAGACATAAGTTTATTGGTATCTAGTCCTACTTATTTTTGATTTATGAAGTTTTGTTCTTGATGCAACTCGTTTCTTATACTCTCATCTATGTAGTTTAACGTTATGCAGTCTGAGATGCAACTTTTATTCATACTTATTACTCTAGTTTTTGCCACTACCGTATCCTGTACGATCCTGTGACAATTCTGGAAGAAAAATCATTTATTAGGTACTATTATTTTATTAAAATGGGGTTCAAAAAGTTATATCACGCACCAGTAGTTATCAAACTATCCTCTCATCCATCATCTGCAAACAACTTCTATATCCAGATTACCTGAGCCCGACATACCATACATCTTGCTCATTCTGAAACTCCTCATCTCAATTCGATCCCTGACACTTTTTCATCACACTCTGTTTCATCCGTTATCCCTGTTTCTCTTTTCTACCTACGCATAACACCACTGGCGTCAAAAGTTACAGAAGTATTCGCTTGAAGTTTGTGTGCTCGTTCGATCAAAATTCCTATGAGAAAAGAAGCTTCATTCTTTTAATTGTTTTCGATATCTAGAAATGTATATCTTTATACTGCAGCGGATACGGAGGTGGAGCCAATATATGGAGTGATACGGCTGATAGGCCCGGAAATATGGCGGTTAGGAGTTCAAAGTTTTGCAATAAATGTAAATGATTTTTGCATTGACGTCGTTAGAACACCGATTTGTAATTATTATAAATCGGACTTGGTTTCGTTATATGGCACGAGCTTCAGCCACAATTTGGATACGCAGCGGCAAAACTGCCTATAGATAGACTGATGGCAGCAGGTGACTTAAGTTTCCATTACAAATCCTCCAAGAATGCCTGGCAGTAGAAATAATATGATTCACTTGATGCTTTCACGAAGTAAAATAACGACACATGCTGCACGTGGCAACGAATGTAGTGCGCGAAGCGTACTGCGCGGATGGTAGGTTAGGACTTTTTTAGTTTCACTCCTTATACTTTAAGGACCACTTAGCTGTTAAAAAATGCGAGAGACCACGCTTAGCGTAGTGTGTAGTTAGAATGTTGATAAATAGTAGTAATAGCGTCTTGAGTTGTTAGTTGCTAGCTTAGCCGTTCTAAGCGAACATATAGTTACCTTGTAACTTCTACGTCCAATTGTTAATTATCTCTTGACTGTCAAGCGTCAGAATAATGCACAAGAATGGTTCTATCACTTTTTCACGTAAGATTCATAGGTTACGTGACTCCTCCATTTTAAGTGTACAATGTTCCACAAGTCGACCTGCTTTTTTTAATTTTTAAATAACATAGACCGAACGCATACATAGGTTTTCGTGATGCGATGGTCAAAATATCTAAAAATTGGCGTCAAGTATGCAACGCCGCCATCAGTATCTCATTTTCATGAAGTTGTAAAATATTCCAAACTTCATTAATTCAAAATAAATCATACTTTAGGTCGTTCTTTATTTAGAGCTGCTGCAGTCAAAATATTTGAATGCAATCAGTATCGTTCGTTTCAAACAGTTAATCTTAATCCTATCCGACCCGCTTTCAAGGAATCAAAATCTCAATTGGAAAAGCTGAGATCAACACCGTCGTAGTCGGAACTGTAATCGATACGACCCGAATCGGTTCTTTCGAGACCATCGGAATGGATTCATTTTGTTTCGGACGGCTCTGTCAGGGATGGTCAAGCTTTCAATAGTGCATAAGCAATTGTGCGTTATCTCATCAGTTAAAGCGTAAAGGTACTAAATGAAATTTGAACATCCCATCCCTTACTCCTCGCTCATTGTGTCAACCTTCTTAGGAGGAAGGGACTTTTCAAGGTTTCTGCACCCAGAGTGGTTGCCTAAAGAAGGTCAGAAAGAGTGTAACTATGGTGCTATTAGCTAAATACCGAACAGTGCCAAACCTGAGAGCAACGTAGGAATCATTGAAAAGAGTTAAAGGAGGCTATCATGCATAGCGATAGCAAAATCTTGCCCGAAAAGCATGTACTTACTGATTTGTCGTCAAATTCAATTAAAAAAATGGAGACCCTTAGTAGACCACCTTTATCAAGCGTACATTTAACGCTGAAAAAAGAACGGGGTGTAAACGTTATGATAGGCATTATTTAAATGGGTGATAGAGGGGGTTAAAAGAAGCAAAAAGTTGGGGGCAAAACGGCATTTTTTAGAGAAAAGCGACTTTAAGGTAAAATAAAATCTGACAACGCCGCAATGCCAGACGCAAATTATGACGCAACGCAGTGTAAATGAAGACGGAGTATGTTATTTTTGGCTTGATAATGTACTCGTAAAATGCAAACAATTAAAAAAAACGGATTTACCACTAACCGTCTCAGCGCTTCCCCTGGTGTGTGAAAGTTTATTGAACGTATTAAAAAAATCCACTTATAAATAGGGAACACAATTTTGATACACACACTGTTTTTCTTTTTAAAACCCCCACTGTACTTTTTCTGTACTTAACGAAGGTGTTTAAAATGTCGTCCTCCACTTTCCACAAAAGCTTCATTACGGCGAACTCAGTTTCTTCTTACTCTAGGTCCTCGAAGTTGTCCGTTTACTCTTTCAGCCACATTAAAATTTTGTGAAGTTGTGCTTCAGTTATTATTGGACCAGCCTCATAAACCATCCATTTAAGTTCTCCCCAATCCCAGAAATCCATCGGATTGAGGTCAAGAGATCTTGCTGGCCACTTTCGAGGGTCATGAGCATGTCGATCAATCCAGCGATTTGGATAATGCTCATTCAAATATCGAATGAAGCCTCTAAAAATGTGTGGTGGTGCCCCGTCATGAAGAAACCATAAATTCTGTCTCCGTTGTAATGTCATGTTATCTAATGTCTGTTCCAAAAGTTCTGGTAGGTTATTGGCTAGAAAGCTAAGGTATCCTTCTCCTGACAACTTTAAGGGTAACTCGAAAGGGCTAATTACCTGATCGTCAAGAATACCCGCCCAAATATATATTTTAAAACGCAGTTGGAAATGACCTTCACAAATGAGATGAGGATTTTCTTGAGCCCACGTGTGAGTATTATGGAAATTTGATATCCGGTCTCGCGTAAAAGTATACTAAGTAAAATTTCAAAATGATTGCACTGTTTTAAAGCCCTTTGACCTTTAATAATGTGTGGATGCACCCTGATGTGCTACGCATTGTCCAACGCGCCTAGGCATGCACTTCTGATCAGGTGGTCAATGTCCTCCTGTGGTATCTCATTCCAGGCAACCACCAACTCCTCTCGAAGTGCTTCTAGAGTCTGAGGAGGACGTTGCAAATTGAGCAATCTCCTACCCATCATATCCCACACGTGCTCAATTGGGGATAAGTCGGGAGATCTTGGTGGTCATGGTAACAATGTGACATCATTATGTTGAAATAAGTCTATTGTGACTCTTGCAACGTGTGGTCAGGCATTATCTTGTTGGAAAGTTGGATCTGCCAGTGTGTCAAGATAGGGTAAAAGATGGGGTTCTAGCACTTCGTGGATATAACGTTGCGCGTTCATGTTACCTCTGATGAAGATTAAAGGTGACCTGGAACCATAAGCTATAGCACCCCAAACCATAACTCCAACAGTGTGATGAACATGTCTTTCAACAAAAAACTGTGGATTCCTCCTTTCACCACGTCGCCTTCTAACCCTGGCACGACCATCGTGCATGCCTAAACAAAATCGAGACTCGTCAGTAAAGACAATACTGTTCCATTCCTGATCCCAAAGTGACCGTTGTCTGCACCACTCAAGGCGATTACGTCGGTGTTCTCGAGTTAAAGGGAGGACCCAGTGTGGCCGGTATGAAAACAAGCCAAAACTTCTCATTCGTCGGTAAACTCTTGGCATGCCAATAGGTCTTCCGTGTTCTGCAAACCATTCATTTGCAATGGACCTGGTAGTGGAGAAACGGTCCCTTAGAGCCCTTTCAGACGAGGATACCGTATGCGAGATACAGTATCCGAGATACAGAATTACGACCGGATACTTTTTTACTTCTGTATCGCATACCGCCTTGTTATACGCAAAACAGACGCAGTGTAGTGCAGTTGTAATTATGGAAATAGAAGAGTGTATCGCGGTGTGGTATTTATTAAATAATAAGAAGAAGAAACTAAAAAGGAGACGTAGTTTGTGGGTTCATCCCATGTTGGGATTAAGAGAAAGCAAAGGAACGTATAATTTATTACATGAACATTTGTTGCAAGATCCATCGAAGTTTTTCAATTATTATCGAATGTCTATTCAGTCCTTTGAGAAACTTCATAATATTTTGGAAAACAAACTAATTAAAAAGGACACAACTATGCGTAGAAGTATTTCGTCAAAAGAACGACTATCTATGACATTAAGGTAAGGAAAAAATACTTATAGATGTTTTTTTTCTAAATCTATTTGTATTTAAAGTAGTACAAGAAAAATAATAATTAATTATCAGCTCCACAATTTTGGTCTTAGCCTTGGTAATCAACAAGAAGATCGATGATGGATCCGTCTGTTGAGGTGGCAGTTGATTCAACGGAATGGGGTGAGAGGATGGGAACAGTGTCTGTTCTTTCATTGGATGAACATTGCAACTCAATGAATGAAGTGTTGGATGACGAATGGGGAGATAAATGAGAATGAGTGGAAGAAGGATAACCATAAACGTGCACTTGTGAAGATGATGACTTATGAATAGGAAGATGTTGTGTAGAAGGGGGATTAGGAGCGGATGGATAAAACGGCAAATGTTGTACATGGTTGTAATTAAATGCAGATTGAGTGGGTAATAGGGCAGATTTTATCGATTGTATCATTGCCAATTTCACATCCATCTTTTTGTCAATTGGCACTCTTCTAAAGTCCGGCAGTAGCGAAAGAAGGAAATGTCGGTCTCCGTCATTGTCTAGCATAATATCGTTTGTTTGTCGCTGTGCAAGATTTGCCTTTAATAGGCCCACTATCTCAGTGTTATGGTCGGTTTCCGATGCCACTTTCCTTTTTTTCTGTACATGTATAGGCCTTAAAGGAGTAACATACTCATTTTGTTCATGATCCGAAGCTTCTTCGATTGTATGATTTTCCTCTGTAAAATTTGAAGTGGTCCTAAAACAAATCTATTAATTTAGTAGTTCATATTTTGACAAGTTAAATTTTCTTACTCTCTATTTGAAGAGCATCGCATCAAAAAAGATAGCTGTTCAAAAAATATATAGGTTTTCCAAGAAGCTCCGTCACCATTTTTTTTCTTTTTTCTTTTCGCCAACTCTCCAGCAAAAGAATTTCTTAAATTCTTCCATTTTTTTGTAGATCTTTCCCTGAAAAATTCAACAAGTTTTTTTTTATTATTTTCAGGTACCTGGCGACTGGTTGCTCCCTTACTGAGCTACATTATAACTACAGAGTTGGAATTTCAACAGCGAGCGAAATAATTCAGGAAACATGCAAGCTAATTTGGATATTTATGAAAGAACAATGTATACCAAAGCCCACACGAGAAAAATGGTTAGAAATCGCAGACGGTTTTTTGAAAAATGCAAATTATCCACACTGTTTGGGTGCCATAGACGGAAAACATATCCGGGTTATAAAACCGCGAATTATTGCTTCACATTTGTAGATACTGGAGATTATGGGAAAAACAGTGATTCAAGCATTTTTACGAATTCACATTTTTATAAGAACTTAAGCTCAAAAAAGCTAGATCTTCCCAATCCAGATTTTTTGCCACAAAAGAATGATTACAAAATCCCATATGTTATTGTTGGAGACGAAGCATTTGGTTTATCCTTCAATGTTATGAGGCCATATGGTGGAAAAAATCTGACATTAAAAAAGAGAATACATAATTACCGGTTAACTCGAGCACGAAGATATATTGAGTGTACTTTTGGAATACTTTCTAACAAGTGGAGAATATTTCACAGACCACTCAACGTGTCAATAGATTTTGCTGTTGACATAGTTAAAGCTTGTACTGTACTCCATAATTTTGTTCGTGTACTAGATGGATATAAACATGAAGATGCCTTATCCGTCCAAGGATTTTATGATGCTAATGTTGCAAAAACAGGAGCGTGTTCTGCAAGATCAGCGACTGCTATTCGTGACTATTTTGCTGACTATTTCATGAATACTGATATATTACCATGGCAGAATAGTTGTATCATGTGAACTAGTGCTGTTGAAATTTTGAAATTTATTTTTATTCCTAATATTTCTGAAATATTCGTTTCTTATGTCTAAATTAGATTGTGTTTTAGTTTTAACTAAAATATAGTAAAATCTATCTATAGGAACTAAGTATTTTTGGGACAATAAATTTTAATGAAAATAATCCCATATGTAAACTTTTTAGCCTGCACTACTTACTTATAATAGTCTAATATGTATTTAAAATAAAATTATGTTTAATGTCTTACCATATTCATTCTGTTGTGCTGCTGTCATCTCCTCAAAATTGTCGCACATTTGTTTGGCAATTTCCACCCAGCGTTGCTGTTTCTTATTTCTATCGCAATAATCTGGGTGCGCTGTATCCCATAAACAGGGATTTGGTTCCACCAAACATAAACTTTTCATTATCAAAGACTGCACGTTCCATTTCTATATACATATACGTATTACATTAACGTCCAATTAAATTCTTAACCTCATTTACTACTAACATAAGAAAAACCCAACGACTATGTTCTACCGTATTCACTGATGAAAAAGTATGCGTGTCTGAACAGCTCCGTGTAATATAATGATAATTCTGTATGTGGCATACGCATTCTGTCGCCGGCGGCCGAAAGATGAGCGATACCGAAATTTGCGTTCGGGATACTGAATGCGTCGCTAGTGCTGTTTGAAAGGTTCGATTTGGGTGTATGGAATATCTGTATCTCGGATACGCGTATCTCGCATACGGTATCCTCGTCTGAAAGGGCTCTTAAGGCCAATAATCTAAGGCAGCGATCTTCACGGTCTGTTGTTCTACGGCGGCGTCCAGTGCCCCTTGCTCTTTGCGCACGGCCTTCTCGAAGCCATGCCTGACAACAACTAACCACAGTGTCTACACTTCTTTGCACTCTAACTGCAATTTTCCGAAAAGAAAGTCCAGCTTCCCGAAGTCCCACTATACGGCCCCTATCAAACTCACTAAGTTGACGAAATTGTACAGGTCTCCGTACTCTAGGCATCGTAACCGATCGTAAAGGATGTCAAGAACCAAAATCCGCCAACGTTGATTCTATACTGCGGCTGAAATATTCATTTTTAAAGCGTTAGTGAATTAAAAAAAAGCAGTATAAAAACCGGAATGTCCAACTGATAAGGCTGAAAATTTTTTCACTTGTTATTTACAGTAAGATAAATACATTCACCAACTTTTATTAATAATAATAATAATAATAATAATAATAATAATAATAATAATAATATATTTATTTCCAACAGGTATACACCAAATCACAGGAAATCAAAACAAAATGGTACCATATATACACATGTACACACACATATATATATACACATACATATATACACATATATATAGACAATGAATCAGAAAATGATAACAAAAAAAAGAAAATAGAAAAGCATTAGTGATCTGAATGAACACATAATACATAGGTATTTGAATAATTAAGCACTTCACATAAAAAGAGAAGCAAAAAAAAAACATAAAAGTGCTCCAATTGAAGAATAACAATAACTGACACCATCAAAAAAACGATTTTATCTCAATTGCTCCCTGTAAATGTTGAATATTTTATTAAGACTGTCATGACATACATCAGCTCTGTTACAGATTGAATTGAATAAGATACACATTACCATTACTGGGGATCTGCATAAAATATTCGTCCGTGGTGTATCACAGTAAAATATGTGACTATGCCGACCAACTAATCTGGGAGCATGAAAATTAATCTTACTCAGTAGGAACCCATAATCAATATGATTATTCATTAACTTATAAAGGAAAGTGAGGGCTTGAGCGTCACGACGATTCCTTAGTGATTCAATGCCAAAAAACTCCAACAAAACGTCATGATCAAATCCTCTTTCTGGGTATCTACCACTGCACTTAAAATACCAATACTTTAGAGCTTTACGTTGTACAGCCTCCAGTTCACCGATTGCATTCTGGTATAGGGGGGACCATACTAAGGACGCATACTGTAACTTAGTCCTGATAAATGAAAAATACAGTATTCCTAAACAGTCCACATTAGAGAAACCGGACCAGTTACGTACACAATAACCCATCAACCGTGATGCAGATGATACAATATCTGATATGTGATCATTAAAAGTGAGTTTGTTATCGAACACTACTCCCAAGTATTTAAAACTTGAATCTCTTCCTAAAACGCTTTCATTAAGGTTATAGTTGTATATGATGGGGTCCTGCTTCCGACTATACGACACCACTTTGCATTTTTTGACATTTAACGTTAGCAGATTTCTGTTGCACCATTCATGAAAGAAGTCAAGCTTGCTTTGCATCTCCACACAGTCACTCGAAGAGTGAATTGGCGAAAATATCTTCAAGTCGTCAGCAAAAAGCAAGTGCATACAGGTTATCTTCAAAGACAGATCGTTAATGAAAATAAGAAATAACAAGGGTCCTAGGTTCGAACCTTGTGGAAGTCCAGATATTGCTGTATAAATTTTGGACTCACTTCCACCAAATTCAACATATAGTGACCTATCAGCAAGGTATGATTGCAAGAGGGTCAACAGGGGTCTGAGGTAGTGAACGCACCCGAAAAATATTGTGCAAATCCATCAACAATAGCTTGAGGGGTATCAAAAACGTTGCCTTCAAAAGACATGGAGCCTGGTATTCTAAACTGATTATTTTTTGAATTTAAAAATGACCAAAACTTACCCGGATCATGACGAATTGAATCTTCAACCTTCTTGGTGTAAGCAGCATAAGCAATTTCTATTTGAGCCTTGATGTTAGTACGTAGCTGCTTGAATTTATTTTCGAAATGAATGAGTCCTGTCTGCTTAAAACAGTTTCTGGCCCTATCCTTCTGTTTTATATTAGTTATAATTTCAGTCGTGAACCATAAAGGATAACGACGCTGTGCTTGCTTAAACCTTGGAATATACAAATCAAAAAGTTCATTCAATATTGAATATAAATATGAGCAAGCATTCTCTACATCATTCATATCTTTGAGGTGTGACCAATCAATATTCAAAACGAGCACGACGGAAGTTATATCTAGAGTCGGTCTTCAAATTAAAATTATTTTTCATACTCCCAACCGTGAAGTTAAATTGGAGAGCTGGATGATACTTATCTTCCTTAACTAAAGGATAACAATCTCTTATCACTAAAATATTAAAATTGGTCAATACTAAATCGAGTAGTCTCCCATTGCAGTTCACAATGCTGTTAAAATTGGTGAGGTCCGAGAAAGCACAGAACTGACTCAAGGATTGGAATTTTCTGTCATTGAACTGGATATTAAAGGAAGGGACGTTGAAGCCACCATTTATAACAATATTATAATTACCAAAAGTTGTTAGAATTGTTTCAAGACCATCCAAATAACACTCAAACTCATCAAGTCCTACAGACGGTGGAACATAAATGCAAAATGCAATTAGTGGTTTTATCTGCAGATTCACCTTTACGTCAACAGTATCAATTAGCGGAAAGGAACTGTTCAGCATATTTATATTAACCACAGATACACTAAACGTGTCCCTAACAGCAATCAACGTACCACCACCTGTTGACAATTCAGTTGTTGCAAAGTCACGATCAGAGCGAAATACAGAGTATTCAACAGGAAAAAGTTCTGAGCTATTAACATGAACTGACACCCACGTTTCACTGAGACATATCAAGTCGAACTCATACTCAGTCACAGCACTATAAAAACTAGGAACTTTAGAATTGAGACCTCTAACGTTTTGATAATAGCATCTAAACTCTGTGGACTCAACATTATCAGAACTGCAAGAGGGTGCGCTGTCTAGTTTAAACTTATGATTTTAGGACTCCCGTTGACATATTTAATTTTGAGATTCCTTTCGCCTTGCTGCGTGCGCTCTTCTAGTTTTTTCCTCATTTGCCGATAGATTTCAACTTGTTTGGGGGTTCTATCGAATGAGACGGTTATTCTATACTGGCTAGATGCCACAATATCTTTAGCCTTTTTGATAACCTCATAAACCATGCTTTCTGCACCCAGTATAGCTTTAAGTGGCCTAGAGGAGGGTTCAGAATATTTACCGATTCTGACTACCTTAATATTTTCAACAGAACAATTAGCAATTTTCAGCAAATCTTTAACTCGAACAATGTCAGCTTCAGTCCTTTCTTTACTGTTAGTACTTTTTAACTCAGGTAGGCCAAAGATCATCACGTTTTTCTTGCGCTTTTCCCATTCCTGCACTTCATGAACCACTTCCTCAAATACCATCGAATCGGGAGAAGACATGCAATTAGAAGATTTCAGGTCGCTGATTTTATTCTCTAAAGCTGCAATTCTCTTCATGAAATCCTCTTTAATTGACAAAAGCAGTACCTTTAAGCTGCCCAGCTCACCCAGCATATTATTACAGTTGTTACACATAAGTTTGATAGCCTTAGATTTGTTGCGGGTTATTCTCACTTCGTCAGCATTCAACCCAACGCATGAAAAATGCACCTCGTTGCCGCAACCATCGCAAGGTATAGATGACCCCTGCTTGGAAAATCCCGAAAGGCAGTTGGGACACTTGTTGCCACTCATGGCTAACTAATGCTGTTCGTTAATTGTGACACAAGAAAACCAGATTTATTAAGATAAAACCATTTAAACTGGGTGTTCGGATTTATATGTCACTTAGTAGACATTCGTCCGTCGCTAGAATGTTTTCAAAAAAATCCGGATTTTCAATGTTTTTGTGTAAAAACCACTGACATAATCTTAGTCTGTGAGGATAATCTCCTGGTAACAAGGCCTGCACTCGTTGTACGTGGTAGAGATAAAGCAAATTTTTCCGTAGGATCTTATTATGAACTATGGTACGCGATAGTCCTACGCGGTGGCCTAATTCCCGAGTGCTGATATCTGCATTGATTTCCACGATATTTAAAATTTGTTCCTCCTGCTCTACAGTAACCTGTCTTTCACGAGTGCGAATATTAATGGGCTGAACACTTCCTTCTCGGAGTCTTTGGTACACTTGCACAAATGTCCTTCTGTCTGGGTGTACCCGTTGGCGACATCTGTCGCGATAAATTTGAGCTGCAAGATTTGAATTGATTCGAGAACATTGTAAATAAACACGATGACGTACGCGAACAAAAACAAAACAACACGCCCGATGCTCTGCTCGACAAAACGATAAAGTAATTTATCTATGCAAAACGATAAATAACCACTGTTACCGTTTGCGATCGATTGCCGGTTCGATGAGAGTGACGAAAGACCGACGCGCTGTAGTCATGTGTGTTTTAAATATTTAATTTAATGAAACTTACTTACTTACTGACTACAAATTTTGGCTTAACTTAGAAAAACTTAATGCCATTATTTGTTAATTACCCAATTTAGAAACGTTTTAGATTAGATTATAAAAATTAGTAAGATTGTGGCCGATATAAAGCACTTAAAGTTGTAAACTATACAGCCATTGAGTCAAAAATCTATTGACTTTTGGACCATGGGTCATATGAACTTTTTGACTTGTTTTGACCCCCTATTACCCATTCCAATAATGACTACCATAACGTTTTCACCCTGTATATCTAGAATGTACATATTATGTTGTTCGGTTTTTATTTTATACTGAAGATATATTGGAACCCCGTTTTAAAAATGTAATAGGCGATATCTTCGCGAAAGATTTAGTTTAACAGTTCAAATGAATACGTAGAGCTATCTCTGAGGATTTGAACTTTCTGCGGTCTGTCGCTCGAACCATAAAGCTTTATCGTAGAAGTTTCGCTGCTTTGAAGCTTTTTGATTGGTTTTTATCACGCTTGTGTTTCCAATGGATTTATGTTAAAAGCTTTCTTCTGCCAACGGATTCGGCGTTTGATGTGACAATGAAAAAATTGATGGTTTAGCTCTAAACGAATTGTGTTCCAGCTAATTTATTGCTAGCCATTGCATTGTTCATTTCTATAAGGGTGGAATGAATTTATCAGTTTAATTGACTTAGAAATAAAAGTTTATTGCTCGATGGCCGAGTGCATTGTTTTTCGTCAAACTGAATCCTATACGCAACGGAATGAGGCCTTATTCGCTTTGACAGTCTTGACTTGCGCAAGACGAAATGTCAAATATCATTGAGACCTCCTCATTGTCCCGTACAGACATCATCCTTCTTTATTACACGACGGTCTTCTTCTCGGCAATGACAGATTAAATCAGCTGCTGCTTTAACTAAACCACAAAACAAATATAGCACAAGCATGACCTTGTTATAATATTATGGTAATCAATTGAGGCTGGTCCTATAGGTTGTGTGGCCAACTTCTCGGTCACTCAGCACCGGCTTCCACCATTTTCTGTTCAAGGTGCGAAAATATTGTTCAAACGCCAATAAAGTACATTGTCAAATTTCAAACGGTAACTCCTCTTACCCAGATACAAGGTGTTGAAACTTGATTTACCAGTAGTGTAGTGGGTGGGAAGGCAAGGCCTGTCAACTACGCTACCTTTGACCTTTGACCCTTTTGCCGACCCCGATGGCACCAACACTATACTTGCCCATCAGCCATGTACTGCTGATAGTAATCCAGCTCCAGCAATGAGATATAGAGTTTGACAAATCTAGCTTACAGTACAAACTAGCAGCGATCGAGGCAGCATCGTGGGAATAGCTCCAGTAAAAATCTTAATTGCGTAAGCTATAGGTTGTTTTAATTTATACTCGAAGGTTCTGAAAAACTGAGAGTAAAGTTGCAAATAAAGTTTTAAGTGGTCAAAGCCGAGAAATTGTTGCCTCGGTATTGAGATTGATGTAGAATGAAGCTGAAAATGGAGTGGCTGTTCCTTTACACAGAGTAAATATAATTACGATTTCAATAAATTACGATTACCATTGGGATTATAACCATGATTATTATTATTATTATTATTATTAGTATTATTATTATTATTATTATTGCGTATCTGGAATGGAAATCTACGTGTAGTACAGGCGATTACAATAATGAGATCAATTTTGAGAATTATAAAAAGTGGTTGGAAGACGAGTTAGTTCCAAACCTACCTCCCAAAAGCGTGGTTGTGGTAGACAACGCACCGTATCGTAATAAACAAAAAGAAAAAAGCCCAACTTCCTCAACAACCAAAGCAGAAATGATGATCTGGCTTCGTCACAGAAATACCTTTTTTACGGACGACAAGCTTAAGCCAGAACTGTACAATTTGATAAAACTGCATAAGCCTGCTTATAAGAAGTTTGCAATAGATAAAATTCTGCATGATGCTGGGCACGTACATCAAGATTGCCAACCTATCACCCCGACTTGAATCCTATAGAAGTCGTATGGGCAGCAATGAAATCTCACGTAGCGTGCCCCGATATCGATTCTAAATTTTCTGCTGTTTTAAAATACTGCGGTGAGTTTTTTAATGCATTTGGGAGTGAAAAACGAGATGCGAGCATACAGAGAAGTTTGAAAAAGAATTTATAGAACGCGAGCCCGCTGTTGATACAGTTGTGGATGAATTCGTTATCAATTTAAATCAAACTGACAGTGATAGTAATTTTATGGAAACTGAAGATGAAGATTCAGAAGGAGAAGAGAAAGATAGCAGAATTTTGGGTGTCGAATCAGTAGGAGACCCTATAGTGTATGAAATCAATTCTGATAAGATGTACACCAATCTTTGAGGCTGATGATGATAAATGAACGTGTTTGCAGATTCCTTCCTGTGAGATATGTGTAAAATTCTCTAAAGGTGCTGATAGTTTGGATAGTAAATTGTTGATCCATTTTAAAATTTTCGAAAATGATAACAGAATCTTTAGGGCTTAAAACCCTCACCTGAAGCTTTTTTGTATTATGTTTCTCAGAATCAATATTTATTTCCTTATTTGAGAAATTAAGCTTAGAGCAGGGCATATCACATAAATTGTGGGACATTATGAAATATATAGGGTTTCAACATCCTTATACAGAATTTACTATTTTCTTGAAAGATCTAAACATTCGGCTCAGAAGAGCTGAGGCACGTTTTTTATGAAGGGTTATCCCACCCTTTTGAGCTAGATTCAATGTATATGCGACCGTCATTCAGTCCCTTAATGAAAGAACTGCATCTGAAATTTTTTTCCGTAAAGTTCTAGTCAAATTCCAAATTTGGATGTCTTTTATAAATTTCTCCCAGTGTAGTTGGAAGGCGAAGTCAAGGGGTTGTCTACGAAGGGCGAATTGTAATCGGAAAATACGTAGCCTTTCATTAAATTAAATAGAATAACAGAGACTGGCACGCTGTAACTGAGCTTGCCGCGCCGACTGTACTTCTATATCCGTTCAGACATCCATCGTCCCACTCTATTTTCTGTGCATCTCGCGGCTCAAGCTGGATTTGCCGACCTGTATTCATCGTTAATATGCACCCACATGCATGACATAGGTAACACACAACACAACATCCGTAGCACAGAAAAATATGTGAAGTGGATATTCCAACCCGCACCCCCGGGTTGCTAGCGCGACACGTAAGTACCAAACTGCCGAGGCGTCCTGAAACTTGATTCAGAAATCAGTGAAAAAATGTTTATTGTCGATTTAAAACTTTGTACTTGTGTTAACAGTAGCAAAACGAATACTATCTATTGCAATATTCAATGAGGCCTTTGATTTCAAAAGAGTGTCACACTTGAGAAATTTTTGTTACACCAGCAGGTGCATTACGTAAAAAAGTCGACGGGAGAGGGTATAAGTGAACATGTAGTGAATGGCAGCTAGTTTCAACATGAGATTCTTTCGGAAGATCCGTCAAAATCAGTGAAGATTGACACTGGAAAAATCATTTAGCATATCATCTCTCCACAGCGGTACATGATTAACGTTCATGTTTCGTCCTTAGTCAATCTCGTCTCGTAGAAATTTGCCTGTAGTAAAGGTACATTTCCGGCTTATGCTTGTATAAACCTTTTTCTTGAATTGGCAAGGCAACCACACCTTGCAATTTGGATAGGTACATTTTCAACATCCTGTAGATATAATCAGAAAAATTCTAAAATTCAAAGACTTGCCGCCGCGTCTGAGGCTCCATGATAGGTGTATACCCGATACCTGTTCGCTGTTGACTACTTTTCCGGACGTAAAATGTTTGACAAAGTTGCAGTAGCACATAAACCGAATGGGCCATAACAGCTCATCCGGTTCTGAAATGGCAGTTTCTTATCAATCCAGTAAAGCCTTGGTCTCATAAAAAAGAATAAAAACGATGCAATTTAATCGGTACGTTATATAGGAAAATTCCAGGTCTCTGGCGTTTCCAACCAACAAACTCTTAAAATAAATTGACGTTGACTTGTATTGACTCAAGGGTAGATTTGGCAAGTCCAAATGATGGCAGAGGATGAGTAGACACTTTTTTTCCATGGAGTCTGTATTAAAAACCAATATATGACGTTTCCAAAATTCATTTCATCTTCCCGATCAGTGTCCAGAGAAGTCAGAAACAATTATCTAAGCTATCATACGTGAGATGAAGTGAGATACCTTAGCGTCATTCATGACATTTTTTTCATAGTTGTGTTTCTCCTTTCCACAGTAATGAGAAATCTACTTTGAAAAAGTTAGTATTCCATAGATGAAGCCAACTATGAGAGCATTGTTGAATGCTTGTTTTTAAAGCACATTCGACGTCATTTTGAATATGCAGAAACGCTCAAATATTGATATATGTTTCTTGATTCAAGCTCATTGTGGGCATACACATAGCGTAAGTATTTCAAGTTCGGATTGCAGAGTGAAGGTAGAGGATATATTCATATTAAAGATATATTCAAATTAAATTTGTACACACAATTTATCTGTGTGGATGTATCCTTAATGTTCTGTTCTGTTTTGATTCCTTCCATTCTAGGTACGTATTGGTATGTCATCGTTTTTTATGGCCAATAAGATTTGCCTCATTAGGGTAGCATCTCTTTGACTAAAAAGTAGTAGGCAACAGAGACGTAAATCTCAAAAGTCACACTCCGGAGATTTAGGAGTCAGTTGGAATAAAGCGTCAAGTGATATGAGACCGTCAACCAGACATAAGTTTGCTAAGCGTAACGTCTGACTCACTAATGAAAAAAATCTGATTACATTTAAACTGAAACTTGAAGAGACGAAGATGAACTGATTGAGCTGAATTAGGTGAGTTTATCAAAGATTCTGAGTAAAAATTTTTGGAAGTTATGTCATCAATGCTATTAGTAGACAGATTGGATAAGCGTGTCATGCGCGTAGCTGATTTTTGTCACACTGCTCAAACTGCTGTTCAACACAGCTGCTGCTTGTTCTTGCACACATAAAGTGGAAGTTAGGCCCATTCTTTGCATTTACCTTCTAGTAGTACTCCAATTTTAGTACAAATTGTCTACAGTTTTTATATTTCCAGGCATTACTGACAGTGTCGCATATTTGCATAACACTCAAACGTTACGACAAAGTTTTCGGGGTGATGAGACAAAATCAAAATACATGTGTTTATGAGCTTACACAGAGGTTCGCCTTCCAAGGTAGATTATTTATGTATGAGGCAGATGGAGATATGAAAGTAATACTCGCTGACTTACTGTAACTTGTCAAAAACCATGAGAATAACTGTGCCTACATCGATTTTACCACGAAACTACTTACACAATTATTTGTGGTTTTAACCTAGCTGATGACGATTGAATTCGTGGATAATTAACATCTTTACTACTTGATGGTGGTAGGGCTAGCGGAGATGTCAGGAATCTACATAAATACGAAAGGTGTGCCAAGGATAGAGCCAAATGCCTTTCCACATATTTTACATTCAGTTCTCATACTTGCAGCCTCTTTCTGTAAATGCCAGCTTCAATTCCCTAACCTTTCCGTACATAAAGCGATGTTTCCTATAAAAGAATAATAACTGATGTTCCTTCTCAAAGCAACATGCGTTGTTTCCCTTCTACTTTATTATGTTGGTCTGTATTTATTTCCCGTGATAGCATTTTTAAATTAAAACTGTAACACCTAACATCCATATTAATATGGCTCCAAAAGATTCCTCGAAAATTATACAGGAAAATATGTAAATTGCAATGAAAATTAAAAGGTGTATTTGAAAATTTAAAAACCTTTTCCTGCGAAAAGGTCCAACAGGCGAGCGTTAGCATATACTATGCACATACCAAATATATGTACAAAGTGAAAAATATAACTTGATCCATCCCCTTCTTTCAGAAATCAAAGGGAATACCAAAAAAAGGTTTAAGGCAAAAGTTTCTGGGTTCAAGTCAAAATTTATTTATTTTATTTTTGCATATAGAGGGTGTTCAGTTTTTCCAAACTGAGATTTAGTTTCACCTTCTTGAATGCCACACCACACATCTTCACCACTCTTAAATCCTACAAATAATCTGCAATATATCTTGTATTTACATGTGTGAGGATTTTATATATTTTTCACAAGCCTTGGAAACGATACGTAGCAACGAGAGAAAATGCGTGTAACCTTCAACACAAATATCGGTCTAAAGCACTTCATATATAAACTCTGGCGACTCTACCATATTGCAGTTCATGGAATATACAGGATTTTCAAAATAGACATGCAGAAACATAACAATAACGCTTGTTACTCTGAATTGAATTATTCTGTTAATAACTTAAATTTTATTATCCGATTATTTTGAGGCCATTAATCATCATTGATTGTTTGACCATCTACTACTGTAATATGAACTTTTTATAATTGAAGAGCATTTTCTACTTTTTAGATCGAGTAGCTATAAAAGCGCGTTTTTTTTTAGTTTTTTAAACTGTTATTTATTTAGTATTTCCTTAAGATATGCTTAATCTATTGATAGATGGTACTGAAGATACTTTACCACCCCAGTGCATAGAGGAACCGCTGGTCTGAGATATACACTCTACAACTCGGTAGAAACAAGTGGCTAATTTTGTGGCTAATCTATTCTACTATTTTCCGGGAGTCATGATAAACGGCATCACATAAATGAAAGTGGCTCCATAATTGTCATGCTATTGTCTACATTGTCTACAAGAATGTAGAGATATAGACAACGCAATTAGGAAGTATCCTATTTTTAAAAGACACTCAAAATGATAGTGTGAGTAAAATGAAGTACAGCGCTGACTTTTTTTTAATATTTTGAAAAATAACAAAGTTACGCTAGTCAGAAGTTTATTATTTGGAGAATCGTGTGGTGGGCCGGGCGAGTGAGCGATGACGTCACATGACGGAAGCTTATCAACCCAGCACCACAGCAAGGAGATGATTAACAATGAGTAAAAAGTGGGTCAAACCTACAACCTACAAATATTTTATTGTACCTAGCTGTACAAATACTAGCATATCAGCTCCTGATAAACAATTCTTCTGTGTGCCAATACCGGGAAGTATTAGAAAGAAGTGGTGCAAGGTAATGAATTGGCACGGTAAATTGCCGCTGTCGGAAAAATCCCGTTCTCTTTTTAACTGCACATAACCAATCGCCTCGTCTTCATAGGTGTCCCTTCCAGACCTATAATGAGAACAGCCAAATAACAATACTCAAAAATGAATGACGAATGATTGATTCTACTCCTGGTTAACAAATGGGCATCGTGAAGTATCACGAAATACGAAAACCAGAAATCATAGTAGTGAAATTTTGTATAAAAATATGTAGTT